TTATTGTTTTCGTTATTATTCTTTATTGGTATTATCATCATCTTCAGTATCATATTTTTTTATAGATTATTATTATATATCAACGTTTTATGTAAAATGTTGGTTTGTTTTTGTCATTTCAATATTTTTAGTTTGAAAAATTCTGATTTTTCGCAGAAAATTATGTAAACATATTTCATTCATTCATATTTTCCATCTTCTCGAATTCTTGATTTGATGGTTTTGTTTATTTTAATTATTTTAATTGTTTATTTATTTTATTTTTTTTAATTACGCGTACCTAAAATTATTCTCTATGATCTGATACACCTCTTTATTCCCCTTTATTTTTCTCCTCCTTTCTAATTATTCTGTTCCTAATTATTATGTTTCCCTCACTCGTCGGCCACCTCTTCTTTTCCCTCTCCCCTCCTCTTCTTCTTGTTCTTTTTGTTCTTCTTGTTGTTCTTTTTTTTTCTTGTTCTTCTTCTTCTTCTTCTTCTTCTTCTTCTTCTTCTTCTTCTTCTTCTTCTTCTTCTTCTTCTTCTTCTTCTTCTTCTTCTTCTTCTTCTTCTTCTTCTTCTTCTTCCTCCTCCTCTTCTTCTCCTTCTCTTCCTTCTTCTTCTTCTTCTTCTTCTTCTTCTTCTTCTTCTTCTTTTTCTTCATCTCCTTCCTTCTCCTCTTCCTCCTGCTGCTGCTCCTTCTTCTTCTTCTTCTTCTTCTTCTTCTTCTTCTTCTTCTTCTTCTTCTTCTTCTTCTTCTTCTTCTTCTTCTTCTTCTTCTTCCTCCTCCTCTTCTTCTCCTTCTCTTCCTTCTTCTTCTTCTTCTTCTTCTTCTTCTTCTTCTTCTTCTTTTTCTTCATCTCCTTCCTCCTCCTCCTCCTCCTCCTCCTCCTCCTCCTCCTCCTCTTCCTCCTCCTCTTCCTCTTCCTCCTCCTCTTCCTCCTCCTCTTCCTCTTCCTCCTCCTCTTCCTCCTCCTCTTCCTCCTCCTCCTTCCCCTCCCCTCCCCTCCCCCTCCCCCACTCTCACTCCCACCCCATCCCCTTCTTTTCTCCCCCTCTTCCTCTTCCTCCTCCTCTTCCTCTTCCTCCTCCTCTTCCTCCTCCTCTTCCTCCTCCTCTTCCTCCTCCTCTTCCTCCTCCTCTTCCTCCTCCTCTTCCTCCTCCTCCTTCCCCTCCCCTCCCCCTCCCCCACTCTCACTCCCACCCCATCCCCTTCTTTTCTCCCCCTCTCTCGCCACCCCCCGTGGTCCGGTGAACGACCGTCAAGTGATCCCCAGCGAAGTCACAAGGGGTCGTGGGGCGGGATGTGGGCGATGGGAGGGGGGTGGATAGGCCTAGATTCTCTTTTCACACGCAAGGGGCGTCGGGATTAACCGGTGGCGAAGAGACGAGGGTGTAGGAAGGAACAGAAGGAGAAAAAAGGAAGAGGTGAAGGAGGGGGAAAGAGGTGGGAGGAGGAGGAGGAGGAGGAGGAGGAGGAGGAGGAGGAGGAGGAGGAGGAGGAGGAGCGTAATCTTGAAGTAGAAAAGGCGAAGATGGGACTGGAGTGGGAGGCTAGGGGAGAAAAGAGAAAGAAGGGAATAGGAAGGAGCAGTAGGGCGTCAAGGTCTTCTGCTGATTGTATTGACGCTACTGTTGTCGTGTCCTCCTGCTGAGTGGACCGCAGTCGAAGGCGCAAGATTTAGGAAAACTTCGCTAAGTTTTATTTTGATCCATATTTTCGGTTAGTTTCATTTCTGCTTAGCAATTACATGCGCTCATGAAGCTCAAAAAGACTTCTGAAACTCGACATGAATAACGTGTAGCGATGCATTGACTTTCTGCGTTGATAAACCCGGAGGAGTAGTTTACGAAGAGTGTTTATCACAGTAGCTTTTGTGACGCCGCTTACCCCAGGAGCAGATGGCAGGAGCGGCGGGTCGAGGTCTGGTCGGTCCCGGGGGGGGGGGGGGGGGGTACCAAACTCAGGCTCGGTTGATGAGTGCCGTGGTGGTATGTAGGGAATGTCTTGGCGGGACGAGGCACATGGGGCGCAAGGCGGATACGCGATTGGCGGGGCGAGCAGCGGGCTACCCTATGCTTCTCACCTCTTGCTGTGTGCTAGCTCACGTGTGTCTCCTCACAGCGAAGGTGGGGCAGGCGAGTGAGCGTGGTGTGTCGTGTCAGCAGCGAAAAGGCCAAAGAGAAGGGAAAATGTATCAGGATCATGTAAAATGAAACTCAAGCACGCCTCAGGACCTTTCAGAGGGTCGCTGGTTTATTATTGTCACTGGGGCGGGTGGGGGGCTCCCTCGGCTGTCAGGACCACGTGTTCGCCCTGGGTGTGGGATACGGCCTTGGACCTGCTGGTGAGCGTCATAGATGGGCCAAGGGCTGGCTGGCATACACAGCTCTTGTGGCCATGTGGCGAATTAGTTGGTAAGGAGCCGTCTGTGTCATGGAGGCGTGTTCGATGTTATCTGGTCCTACTGCGTCGAGATTTAAGTCTGTGGCCAGGGTGTCTCCGAGGGTCTAGGAGGGAGTCACGGCCGACATTGGCTCCTCGGAAAGGAGCTTCGCCGAACAGGATATGGCACACCCGAGGAGCCCGGGCAGCACGAGGGCGCAGGTGTTCCTCTGCAACTCACGGTGATTCGTTTAGGGAGGCCAATTTGCATGATCCGCCTAGCATAGAGAATGGCGTCTAATAGTCACACTCGTGTTAGCAGTGAAAAGAATATCGCGGATGATGCCTTCGCCGTGTCTCCTTATTCTCCATGCGGCCTCAGGCACACGAGGGTTCTTCTTTCATTGTAATGCGTTTTGAGATTTCCCGATTTTTACGTTCCGCCGACGTGTTTATCTTCTGTTATATTTTTGCTTCGAGGCGCCTTTGATGTTCCCGCCGGTGTTTGAACTGCGCACACGGCAAATACTATGATATTTTCCTCCACACGTCCGGGCCGATGAGCAGAAACGGACTGTGCCAGCGGGTTGCCTGGAGGTTGATGTTGAGGTTCGGGAAGGCGTGTTCGATTGGTCTCGCTTCGTGACAATCGGAGGCTTTGTAATTATGCCTGAAATGTTGCGAGAGTAAAAGACGGAGACCTCCGGAAATCTCGCATTTGTCTGTGTCGTACTTTTCCCTTTCGAGCAGAGGTCAGAGGTGCCGGAGGGCCGACGCGAAAAGATTTTCGGAATGTATATTCTGATAACCCCTGCCATTTATGGACGTGGCAGAAGTAAATTTTGCAGGTTTTAATGTCATTTTCTTTTTAGCTTCTTCATCGCTTCGTCATTGTAGACGCCATGATCATCTCCCCATCAGCATCACCTCGGTCGTAGATTTTATTACCACTATCACTTCTACCTCCACCCTCACCCTCGCCTCACTCTCACCCTCACTCCCACCTTCACCCTCACCTTCACCCTCACCTTCATCCTCACCCTCACCCCCACTCCCACCATTATCCTCCCCCTCCCCCTCCCCCCACCTTCACCCCCACCCCCACCCCCATCATCACCCCCACCACCCCCACCACCACCACCCCCACCACCACCACCCCCACCACCACCACCCCCACCACCCCACCACCACCACCACCACCACCCCCCACCACCCCCACCACCACCACCACCACCACCACCACCACCACCACCACCACCACCACCACCACCACCCCCACCACCACCACCACCACCACCACCACCACCACCACCACCACCACCACCACCACCATCACCACCGTCATCACCACCGTCATCACCACCGTCATCACCACCGTCATCACCACCACCATCACCACCACCATCACCACACTACTACTACCTACTACCATCCAATCTCTGCCAACATTTCCACCATCTCTACGATCATCTCAACCCCGCCCCCCCCAAACCACTACCATCTCTATATCTCCACTGCCACCATGGAGCAGCTAGGATTGGTGTATTAATTCCTGACATTGTTCTTTAAGAAAGCGTACGAATTTCCAACTGACCAGCTTATTAAGCACAACTGATGCCGAGTCAGTAGCCATGTAAATTAGAGTCAGTGGCCATGTAAATCACCATCAAAAAAGGTAGTGAACAGCAGCGACACGGAGCTGTCTTCTCTGACAGCCAAGGTGCACTCTATAGACTTACTGCATTTAGTCCAGGAAACATGGTGACTAGGGATTTTTTTTTTTTTTTTTTTTTCTCCAACTAAATGATATGTGAATAATGTGAGCACAATGGCACAGCCCTTCAGGCCCTCTACATAAATAGAAGCATAGCCAGTTTTACTCTGGCTTTTTGAAGTGCATGTGCATTGTTCTGTAAATATTTTTTTTATTAATCAATCAGTCACTGCCACCACAACTAATACTTACACTATCAATATCCCTTCCACCACCACTCCCAGCGTCCCCCCCCCCCCACCCCCACCATCACCACCACCACCACCACCACCATTTCAACTAACCCTAGCGCCCCCAACTCTCATTTTTATTACTTGCATTGTTCATGGTATTATTATCTTATAATCTTGTACACGTGTATATGAATACAAACTTTAAGATTTACTTCCGCATGCTGATTTCATTCGTCGTGATGTTCATGATGACGTCATTCATGTTGACTTCATTCATGCTGATGATTCTTGGTGCTGTTCCGCCACTATTCACGCCAGTAGCGTCGTAAATCACGTTTCCGGTACAGCACGCGGTCCTATGAAGGGAAGCGGGATGTGCCATTGTCAATGTCAAGGCGAACGCGCGGCCTTGGGAGCGGCGGAAGCTGAAATGGCCGGATATGATCTTCCTTTTGGTGTTACTTCGGAGTGAAATGAGGGTCTTGGAATGAATAGGGCGGAGGCTCCTGGAGTGCCTGTGTGCGGGGGTGATTTTTGTTTTGTGTTTTTTGGTTAGGAAAGGAATGGTATCATATTATTAAAGTTTGGGAAATCATTAATTTAATCATGCATTATGGGAATGTTATACATACCGTAACCATTCGATGGTTTTGATTTAATTAAAGTTGGTGTTTGTTTCGTTGCAGCGTGCCATAGCAGTGCCATAAGGGAGCCATGCACAATAACCGGCGGCGGAAGAAGCGGCCCAGCTATGGGGTCCGCACGGTGGAGATCACGAAGGGCAAGAACGGCTTCGGCTTCACCATCAGCGGGCAGGCGCCGTGCATCTTGTCGTGCATCGTGCCGGGCAGCCCCGCCGAGCGCGCCGGCCTGCGCCCTGGCGACTACCTCATCGCCGTCAACAGTCAGAACGTGAGCAAGGCGCCGCACGATGACGTGGCGCGCCTCATCGGCCTGTCCAAGCTGCTCAAGCTGCAGATCGCCGAGAACTACTACTCGGACAGCTCGGACGACGAGTTCGTCACGGTGAACCGGCCGAAGCCCAAGTACCCGAACCGCCTGCGCCACAAGAACCAGCAGACACGCGCAGAGAAGGTGGTGCGCGACCTGCAGAGCGGGGCCATCTTCAGCGAGCACACGGCCATCCACCTGGGCGAGGCGGCGCTGCTGTCCGACCGCGATGCCTGGCCCGAGTCCGCCTTCCCGCCCAAGGCGCCGCTTACGCCCACGCCCAAGGGACTCACGGTCTCCACGTCGGTGTCCCCCGTGCCCGAGGGCCTGGGCGGCGGCGACGGGGGCCCGGCCGGCGTGCCCTCCTCGACGTCGCCCACGCGCCTGCGCCCCGACCAGATCCAGCTGGTCATGGCGGAGGCGCGGCAGGTCACAAGAACGCCACGGCCCATGAAGGAGCCACAGCAACAGCAACAACAGCAGCAGCAGCAACAACAACAGCAGCAACAGCAACAGCAGCAACAACAACAGCAGCAGCAACAGAAGCAGCAGTCGCAGCAGCAGCAGCAGGAGCACCCGCCGCGGCCCAGACACGTGGTCAAGAAGAAGGACAAGTCGCCGAAGGCCAAGCTGAGGCACCACCCGCAGAACCTCCCGCCGGAGACCGTGAGTCAGCTCGCGCACCACCAGCACCACCACCAGCAACAGCAGCAGCAGCAGCAACAACAACAGCACTTGCAACAACACCTGCAGCAACAGCAGCAACATTTACAACAACAACAGCATTTACAGCAGCAGCATAGTCAACAGCAGCTCCTTCACCAGCAGCAGTTGCACCAGCAGCAGCCTCAGCGACAGCAGTCCCCGGTGCAGCAGCAGCTTCAGCAGTCACAGCAACAGCATTCGGGCATGTGGGTCGGCGTGGAGCTGCCGAGCGGCTCTGGAAAGGAGGCGTACAGCGTGCTGACGGAGCAGGAAATCAACAAGCTCCTGTATCCGACCCTGGCGGAGCTGCAGCAGCAGGCGGCGCCCAACGACCTGGGCGAGGCCCTGTACCGCGCCGTGGTGGGCTACCTGGGCACCATCGAGATGCCCAAGGAGCCCCAGGGTGGCTCTAGGCTGGCTGCCATCAGGAACTGCATCCGGCGACTGCGCATCGAGAAGAAGGTGCACACGCTGGTGCTCATGTCGGTGTTCACGGAGCGCGTGGTGCTCACCAGCCCGCACGGCCTCACGCTGGCGCAGTACCCGGCCGAGCGCATCACCTTCTGCGGCGTGTACGCTGACGACAAGAAGTTCTTCGGCCTGGTAACGGTGCACGGCGCGTCGGGCGACGAGCTGAGCGACGGCAGCCAGGACGGGGGCAGCGTGTCGTCGTCGTGCCACGTGTTCATGGTGGACCCTCGCATGGTGCAGCACGCCGACCACGCGCGCAGGGCCAAGAACTTCCGACTCGAGTGCACGCCGCACCCCGATGCGCCGCACTGCCAGGAGTTCCCCGACTCGGCCGACCCGATTCTGCACTCCATCATGAGCCTGTACCGCAACCGGGTGGGGTTCCACCTGGACACCGGCGCGCCCGGGCTCATCGACGTGGAGGCGCAGATGTCGCCCCAGCACTCCAACACTTCCTCCAACTCCTCCAACTCTGACTCCGGCATTGGCTTCAGGGACGACGGCGGACACCACTACCACCACAACGACCGCGTCTTCGTCGTCGAGGTGGACGACAACCAGCGCATGCGCATTCAGAACTTCCAGCTGGTGAGCAACCTCCGGGCCAACCTCAACGACAACCTCAGGTCAAACATCGACAACCACAGAGGGAACATCGACAATCATAGAGGGAATATCGAAAACCAAAGGGGAAACATGGATAACCACCGAGGGAATATGGATAACCATAGAGGAAATATGGATAATCACAGAGGGAATATGGATAATCTAAGGGGGAATATGGACAACCACAGGGGCAACATAGATATCCACCGAGGAAACATAGACAGCCACAGAGGGAACTTAGATAACCACAGAGGGAACATGGACAGTCACCGGGGCCTGGACAACCACAGGTCCAACATGGATAACCTGCGGGTCAACCTGGATAGCCACCGGGCCAACCTGGACAACCTGCGGCCGAGCAGCACGGACAACTTCCGCTCCAATCTGGAGACGCACCGCGTGCACCTCGACAACCTCCGTGGCAGCATCACGGCGGGCTACGGCGGCGGTGTCAGCGCCTCCGTCACCGACAGCATCGCGAACAGCCTGAGTGCCAACGTCTTACGTGCCAATATCAACGACTTCAACCCTTCCAGTGCCAATAACCTCCGTGCCATCGCGAGCGAGAAGCTGTTAGTGAGTGCGAGTGAGAACAGTAGTGCCAAATTACTGGATAACGTGCGTGCCAACGTGAACGACCACCTGCGAGTGAGTGTGACAGACAAAGTGTTGGGCAATGTGGATAACCTGCGAGTGAGCGTGAGTGACGCAAAACGGCTGAGTGACCTGCGGGCAAGCCTGGCCGAGAGCCGGGCCAGCCTCGTGGACGGCCGCACCAGCATCACGGACGACCTTCGGGCGGCGCTGGAGGACGAGGTGCGGGCCGGCCTGCACGACGGGCGGACGAGCGGCGTGGACGGCCGCACCAGCATCACCGACGACACGCGGCTGGCGCGCGACCGGGGCGCCACCAAGACCCCTGTGGCGGACTGCAGTGCCACGCCGGAGACGGGGCGCTTAACCGTGCGCGCCATGCCGGACCCCGTGGGCTTCGAGCGCTCGCCGGGCTCCCTCAGCAGCAGCGACACGCCCGTGCACGTGGCCTCTATGCGCCACTCCATGCACAAGTACCTGCAGCACAAGCAGGAGCATCTCGTCAAAGTGTCGCAGAAAATCAACCGGCGGGAGTCCGACACGGGCGGCATCCACCCGCTCAGCGTCCGCGCCTTCTCGCCTGCCACCACCAAGCCCAGCCCGCCCACGCCCACCGTCACGGCCTCCGCCCAGGAGACGTTGGACCTTGAGCTCTCGATTAAATTGTCCCCGAAGGTGTTCGGAGTGCCGCAGCTGCCTCTGGGCGGCGCCCTGTCCCCGCTGCGTCCACGGGCGCCCTCCGAGAGGTCCTACACGCGGTCCCTCGAGGACCTGCGGGACTCGTCCACCAGCGACGGCGTGGGCGGGCCTCTGGCCAGCGGAGGGTGCGGCAGTAGCTTCCGCGACGGCTCCGAGAGCGACCACGGGCTAGACCGCCTGCGGCACGTGCCTCTCACGCCGCTGGCGCGCCTGCTGCACGCCTCGGAGAACAACCTCACGCGCTACGGCAACATCTACCCGTCGGAGCACCACCGCGGAGCCTTCCGCGCCGTGGCGCCCCGGACGCACCGCGAGCCCCCGGCGCCCCTTGGCGTCGGGGTGGTGCCGCGTATGGGCGGCCTTGTAGGCGTGGGCGCCCTGGATTCGGGCGACGAACACACAGAAAACACAGAGAACACCGGGGAACAAGAAGGAAGCCAGGACGTGCACCCGCCGACGCAGGACGAGTTCTCGCACGACTCCGACTCCGAGCAG